AAAATTCCACGGTTCTGAAAGCGTACCTAAACTATTCTGACTTCTCTCCTCTTTTTATTATATGTATACCTTATTGACAGTGCTCAGAAAGGATGAGATACTAGACTTACTTGCTGTATGCAGTGAAGTTCCCCTGGAGCAGGCAGATGGTCTCACTGTGGGTGCAAGGCAGAGCTCTCCCTGCACGTGCTGTACAGCTCATGAATTTATCTCATGGACATACCTGGTCTATGTTTGAGAGGTTTGCGTCCCCACTGTAGCCATGACTTCCCTCCAAGATGATTTACTTTCTCATAGACAGGATGCTAGTTTAATCAAAAAAGTCAAACAAAAATGAATTCTCTACTGACTGCCATTCAATGCGGTATAATTATTATTCAATGATAACAAAACTTAATTAGTTTAATGCTATTTTGGGCATTCAATCAGAGCTGAAGTATCTTAGGATTTGGTATTCCATAACCTTGAGAACATGTCAAACTGGAGAAGATCTGTTCCTGTCCATGCACAGTCTTCCTCTAAATGAATAGATGTACAGCTGGGGACAGAGTGCTCCTATTCCTGGCAAAGTACACTGGTGCAGTTAAACAAAAATACTACAAATAACTGCAGGCAAATATCAATCACTTCGGCAGGTGGTGAAGAGAAATGTAAAAAATAAAAAGCGTTTCTATGGCTGCAGGGCAGACATTCTTTCCTTCCTCGGCAAGGCTTATCTACTCTTGCCTCTCCCAGCAAATGCGATGACTGTGTCACATCCTGTTAAAGCATGAAAAGCAAACAGAGCTTTTGCCTTTTCTTTGCCTAATAGTGCAGTTAATAACCTTTAGTTTAATCCCACAATCAAAAGTAATCCAATATTCATCAAAATCTCACTTGTTCACCCCCCTTTCCTCCCCCGAGTGATTCCTGGCAGGTAATATGCAAAGCAATAAATAACAGAGCTCCTGGAATCCATGGCTCACAAGGTTTTGAATCTGGAGGAGAAGAGCACGTGTTTGGTGGTAAATAAGGATGGGCTTGTTTATGGGAGAACTGGAGGAATAACATATATCACCCTTTTAATGAAACATTGATGAAAAAATACTCAGTTTAAATCAGGTGTGAAATAGGTCTGTGCTGCATTCCACCACTGTTTCTCCCACTGCTGAGCTCAGGAAAGCAGGGTGTGTAGGCAGTTCTGTGTTTGTACATGACTTAAAATGCCTGTGCCAACAGTAAATAATGCAGGACGAGGTGATGAGGGAAGTTGTCTCTTTCTCTGTGCTTTCACTTATTTTTGTGAAGACAACACCAGCAGTGTCAGCCTGATCCAAGTCAAATAGCTTCAACTGAACTTCAAAAGGTACCATAAATGTGTGAGAACTTGCCCCTAGGATGAGGCATTCTGGGAGCATAAAGAAAAATCACATATGGCATAGGATATTAGGGTAGGAGATCTGTGATTAGCATAATGCAGTCTTTCAAATATGTATTTTTATGTGGAGAAGAACTAATATACTTTTTGCGTGCCAAATACAAAAGCAATCCATTATGATTCATCCTAAAAATTATTTTAACATTAGGCTGATATTATTCATTGAATGGCACTTCCTAGCTATGTAAGTACTTAAAAATAAAGCAGGCAGATGCAGTTCAATCTTCACCAGACTGAGCTGCACCCTGGTCCTGCTCTTCAACCAAGGGAAATTAAAAGATAGTTTAATTCCTGCAGATATTCTGCCCTTGGCTTCTCAGGCAGTGAGAAAGACAAACATAATTAGAAGCCATTTCACCAGGGCATATATGACTGGTTTTGTTTTGTTTTGTTTTGTTTTAGTATTCACAACTAAAAGGTAGAGGTCCTTTAGAAATACCACTATGACTTTTGATTTCAAAGCCATTTTTGAAACAGAATGCTATTTTCCTGTTGATATGTAGCTTCAAGACTGACACAATCAGCACATTTTATAGAAGGATTTCAAGCAACTGCAAAAAAAAAAAAAAAAAAAAAAAAAGTTTTTCTCTATTATCATACTGCATCTAAGTTAATTAATCATTCAAGAGTCAGGGATAACTATAATTAGCTATACCTGCCACCTTTCTTCAGTTTTTGATGTAAGTGTTACAACACTCTTTTTAGCTTCCCAGTCATGTTTTGTCTCTCAGAGGACACTAACTTATCCAATGAAGAGAAGTGATTGTCTTCAAGTGAATTTATATTGTCTGCAATAACACTTTGTTGCAAGCACTCAATTTTATTCAGAAGTTATAAGGCACAAAGCGTTACAAATGAGGCATTGGACTTCCAGGAGTATTAGAAAGGAAAGGATAATTTTGAAGCTAGAGCAGGCAAGAACCACTTTAGAAAACTGGATTTTATGTGTCTGACATGTAGTGTTTGAATGACGCTAGGCCACTTGATTCAAAATGGCAGAACAGAGCAGGAACTCAGGAGATGCCAAGCTTTTCAAAATTAGTTTATGCTTTTGACAATTTTTACTTTAATGTCTGTTAACGTGGCAAAATTGGCAGTCCTGCCAGCTTCTTCCTACCTACATCCTGAGCAGACTTTAGGACTTTTCCACTACCTCTCTGCAGATTTACCTCTGAGATCTTCCCAGCCCTACATTGATCTATACTCATTGCAGCTCATGTATGAATATCCGGACAAGCCCGTCAACAGCACCTGCTGAAAACTTGTGGTAAGAGGCAAAAATGTTTTCCACAAAAAATGCATCTGAAACCAGCTCCTGACTCCTGGGTGCTCAATACATAGCAAAGCTTGTAAGTTGTACGTTGCCCTAGGTTTGGTACTTAAAGATCTGTAAAGTATTCAAAGTATAACCTGAGCAGGGATGTTTATGGTCTTGTCTTTTAGGTGCTGCTAAGTGCTTGCTGTGTTAAATTCCCTGCTTTAAAACAACCTGTCAGCCTTTAGCACGTAAAGGATTTAACAAGCATCTATCTACTGGCAACCCCAGATCCATTACCTTCTCTAATTTCTTCCACATGCATAAAATATGATAATAGTACTACTTCAACTTAGAAGGATGTTATAAAGTTAAATTTATTAATGTTTGAAGGAGTTAAGATGGTACAATGAGAGTATCACAGAAAAGCCATCACGGAAATTAATTAACCTGTCTTCAAGGCATGGTTTGAAGAATGTACGGTAAATATGACATGAAAGGTTCCACTTTACATGATGGAAATGAAGACAAACATTGAAGAACTATACATTAATTAAACACCATCCTTTGCATTGAATGAGGCAGGAGTCTTGCAGAAAAAATACTCTGAAAGTGATTTAAAGGTGGAATCATATTACACGCTACATACAATACCAAAGGGGAGCTTTTTGTCTTTGGATCCTTAGTGTTTTCAGTACAGTTTCCTTACATTTAGTTTAAAAACTATTTTCATCGCATGACTCCCAGGCTGAATACTAGCTGGTTGTGAGCCAGCTCTCACGGGATATTACAGTGGTAGGAGAGTAGTTATTTTTCCATGGGATGTACTATGCTGAAGGGCTTCACAGGCCACTTGGGATCCAGCACGAGCTGGCTCATGCTCTCCAGGACACATTCTCCTGTGGTCCTGCCTGTCCTTCTCCTCCCAGTCCCCAGCTCCTGCCCAAATATCCCAGCAGATACCCTAATATCCCTGTCTTCAACTTCTGGCTACACTCCTCCATCTTTTCCCATGCCTTTGTATTCCCCTTATCCATGCCCTGTTCTCCCAGTCCCAGACCCTCTGGTTCCTCTCTCTCAAGCCCATGTAATTCACACTGAGACCAGATGTTACTTCCTGTGTGTTTGTCAGACACCAGTAGGGTAGAGACAAATGAGATTACCGGAGAGTCTTCTTTCTTCTGGTGGCATTGCCAAAGGAGCCTCTGGAAAGTAGGAGGCACTGCTACAATAAGACATATAAGAAATATGTTTTGTAACATGAACACAACACTGCAATGTCATCCCTAGATGGGTAGAATCACAGTAAGGGAAACCCCTGGATAACAGTCTAGCCTGAGAAACAGCTGGTGTGAAAATGCCAATTGAAATTGCTTAAATTTGGCAGAGTTATGAACATCAATAAAGTCTGAAACCGATAAGGCGGCATTAGGAATAGTCAGTGCTCTATGCACCAACAAAAACTAGATCTGCCTCGTTAAACATTCTATCGCGGTGTGCAAACCCAAACACGAGGACAGCATTTGAATGTACAGATGAAAGGCAAATTGTTGACCAGCAAGCCTCCCGACAGTGTAATTTGCAATTAGTAAGAAACTTCAATTCGCTTGGGAGACGCAGAAGGAAAACCAATGGGAGGGAAGGGAAGGGAAGGGAAGGGAAGGGAAGGGAAGGGAAGGGAAGGGAAGGGAAGGGAAGGGAAGGGAAGGGAAGGGAAGGGAAGGGAAGGGAAGGGAAGGGAAGGGAAGGGAAGGGAAGGGAAGGGGGAGGGAAGGGAAGGGAAGGGAAGGGAAGGGAAGGGAAGGGAAGGGAAGGGAAGGGAAGGGAAGGGAAGGTTCTTCCTCCACCACCTTGCATTGATTTTGGTCTGAATTTTCAGCTAATGAGAGAATGTAATGGGGACAACATTGGCAGGCAAAAAGAACAGAACAGAAAGACCAGGAATGGAAACTAGGAGGACTGAATAGGTCTTAAACGCCAGTTTTGGTGAAGTGGGACGGGAGGTGAGGCGGTCTGTGGCTGTAGCATCAGTTCTACCGAGGCTTTGGGGCGGTGGAGTGGGAGCGAGCGGATCCCCGTGCCCGAGGCCCCGCACATCGCCACATGCTGACAGCACCCCCACACCACCCAGAGCCTGCCGAAACGGGATGGGGGGGACCAAAACGCGTGCCATAAGTGGCATTGTTCCGTTTTGCGCTTAGCATGCAGACATTTAAGGGAAATAAAGCTGGCGTTTCCTCGCTTCCCCTGTCTCCTCCAGCCCCAAACAAAGGCGCCCCGGCTGCCCCTCAGAGCCGCTGCCGGCGGGGCGGGGCGGAGCGGGGCGGCAGCACCTGGCGGGCCGGGAGCCGCTGGGGGCTGCCGGTATCCGCGGCCCCGCTCCTCCCCGCCCGGCGTCAGGTGCCGCGGGGCGGGCAGTGCGCCTGTGCGGCCGCCCAGGCAGCGGAGCGGAGCGGAGGGGAGCGGGGCCGGGCAGGGCCGGGCCGGGCTGGCGGAGAACCGGGCGGCGGCCAGAGCGAGAAGATGGCGGAGCCGGGGGCCGCGCGCGGCTCCCCGAGGGCGGCAGGTGGGAGCCGGGACGGGATGGGACGGGGTGGGATGGGGTGGAATGAAATGAAATGAGACGGGACGGGATGGGACGGGACGGGATGGCGGTGCCACAGCCTCCAGCGGCAGCCGTCCCGTCCCCGTCCTGCCTCCCCCCCTCCGGTGAGGGTCGCTGCCCGCCCGGCAGGTGCCCGCCGCCATCTCGGGGCTGAGGCGAAATCCGCGGCCGGCGGCGGTGCCGGCAGGGAGGGAGAGAGGCAGGGAGGGAGGCAGCTCGGGGCTGCCCTGCAGTGGAGCAGGGCTGTGGGTGAGCCTGGGTCTGTGCCGTGCCCTGCCCGGGCCTGCCTGCGCTGCCAGGCGAACTGGTTGAGCTGGTGCCGAGCCTTCCTGGAGGTGGGGTGGGAGCCTCCGCACCGCTCCCCTCCAAAATGTGGGGCAGGGACCCCCGGCAGCGCGAGGTGTCGGTGCTGGGGTCACCGCCTTGGTGCTGGGCTGGTGGCCACCACGGCTCTGCTCCCGCTTCCCCCGTCCGAGGCGTGAGGTGAGTGGCGACTGAGGAACGAGCTCCTCCTTGTACTTTTACCTCCACCGCCTGATACGGGGCCTTGGCGTTGTGGCGAGCAATCCGTCCGCAGCCCAGGCATTGGAAGAACCGATTTCCTTTTTGTCCTAGGCTGCTGTAACTTCTGAAAGTAGCGTTACAGTTGCTCTGGGGAATACGTGTTACTCTCCCAAACTTGGGGAGTGGGAAGGTGAATCCAAGCCTTTGGATTTACCCCAGGGTCACACCATGTCAGCAGCCAGGGACAGAGCCACGACAGTCTCCGTTTTTCTGCCCCTCGCTCTCCTCCTGTGCTGGGCAGCCACAGCTCCTGCTGTAATCCATTGCAGCCGAGCAGTCGTACGCTTGGGTTGTAGTTCTTGGGTCTCCAATTCCCCGTGTCTCACATGGGAGAAAAACAACTAATGCTGAGAATTCATATTTCTGATTTCTTCCCCCACTCTGAAATCGAAGAAAGTCTGCCCAGTATTCACGTGCCCTGTTAACGGAGTTTTTTCTTCTGGTGTTTTCCTGTTTTCTACCCTCTAACTTCAGAGATGAACGTTGCAAAAGGGCTTCACTCGTTATGGAGACCGCTTTTCGTGAGACTGAGAATCGATAGAAAACGCAGCATGTGGTGTAATTAAAGATAGTATTAAATGAGGCACGGGCAGGTGTCACTACAAGTGGCCAGGCGCTGGCGTTTGAGCACCAGTGCCTGAGCACCGCGGTGTGGAGTGCTCTCAGCCAAATGTGTTGTTTTCTTTGAGTAAGCTGGTAGAAAATAACACAGTGTGCTGGGAGAAGGTTGTGGATGTGTGCATGGTGTGTTTTATAGGCAGCAGCGTGGATGGGGTTTGCATCTGTTGCAGCAGAGAACAAGACACTTCTCTGGGACTCGACCAATTCTGTGGCAGTGGGAACAGCTACTCACACAAATCGCTGGGAGGGAGCACAGAGCTCATCCTCTCTTAATTCACACGTTTGTGTGTACGTCAGCTCCTGGAGTCCTCTGGCTCACAGGGATGGGGAGGGTCCTACCTCTGTATCCCAAAGCAAAGCTGCTCCCAGGAGCTGTTCCCAGCGGGGTGCTGTCCTGTGACAGGTGGTGGCAGCAGCCTGGTCCTCCTTCCCAAACTGGGAGGTACTCTGGCAGCATCCAAGTCTTGCTCCCTAGGGCCCTCCAGTGCTGAGGATGCTGCTGGGATGACAGTGAAAGCGAGGCGCCAGATTTAGTCGTCCATCACTTCAGGCTCTGCCAAGATCGAGCTGAACAAACAAGCTTGCAGTACAGGAGGCTGTACGCATCTCTTGGCTGTTAGGGAAGAGATCAGTGGTATATAACGCTGCAAAAAGGAGCAAAATTCTGGGGCTCAAGCAATTAATAGTTGCCGAGTTCAACTGTTTTCCTTTGCTGAAAATCTAAGCCCATGCAGCAAACAAACAGAGATGCTGCAACCTGAGATGTTGCAGGAATGTTTTTTGTCAGGGAAAGCGCTGGGTGACCAAAAGGTAGGCGTTATTGCTGCTGCCATCTGTAGTAACAGTAATGACTAAATAGCATTTGAAGGACAAGCTGCTCGGTATTGGATCACTCATCTTCCCTTTTGCTACCTAGTTAAATTGGCTTAATGTATGTTCTGAGAGACTGAAATATTGAACACTTTGGTTTTCAGACCAAGAGGGTTTAAGAAAAAATTGCATGTTAAATCAACCTAGACTGCATATCATAAACAAAATTTAGGTGAAAGGAATACATACATGTATTTCTTTCAAAATACTGTATGTTTTTTTTCTTAGCAGTGTTTTTCCAACTGATTTCTCTAAGTCATTAGTATATTCTTGTTGTATTACATCATTTTCTCTCACGTATGGATGTTTAAGGTTGTTTACCCTCAGGTTTAATTGCTGTGCTGCTCTCTGTGTGATGTTACTATTTGCAAGTATTGGTTTTAGTTCAAAGGAGTTGAATACTCTGCATGCTTTCAAGGTATTGTTTAAATTTTTAAGTAGCATCTTTCTTGCAGGCTTTGCCTCTGTTCCAAAAAAAAAAAAAGTCAGAGCCTTTTCCAACTAATTTTTGTTAAATTTTAAGAGAAAAACAACTTACCTTGGAATTACAAGACTGGAGAATTAAAGGGAAGGCATATTGATGCCTCGAAACATGCGTGGTAGGAAGGTGAAACGCCCAAAAATTTCAGAGTGCTTGCAAGATGCTGTTGTGTAGTGCCACATACCTCCCTGTGCTTTGGTGGCTGGTGGAAATGCATCAGGGATGCTTTTTTTTGTATGAAGTAATCATTTCTAGGTATGCTAATTGAGGGAGCGTATACATATTTCATGTAAATGAAACTACACATCCTGCGTGTTGGTATTGTGTGAAGATTTATGAAGTAAAGCTTTCTTGCCTCTCATGAATAAATAAAATACAATTATAACTTTCTTAGTTATTAGTCTTTTAATGTGTGGGGAGAAAAACCAGCAGGGGAAATGCTTTTAATATCTTACTCTTATCTGTCATTCATTGCCTCATGCATTTTAAGGCTACAGAAAAGTAAGAGCAAGGCTTTTAATTCTGAATTGTTCTTATAGGGTTCAGACAATAAAAATAAAAAAAGTGTTGTTTGCATGGGACTTCTATAAATAAATGGATGTTACAACATGGGGAAAGGAGCACAGCTGATCAGGAAACTAATGCAAATTGTGGGAATGCGAACTGCATTGAGCAATGACCTACTCGAGTCACCTCCTCCCTGTTTACCATCTTCCTCCTTTAGTTGGCTCTCTCAGTTGTTCTCAGCCTGGTAACCTCAGGTTTTGGGTGGTTTGTGCATCTTCTAGATCTTGTTTAATACTGGGACCTTTCATAATTCATCTCTGTGTCCTGTGGTACTGTGACATGGGCCAGTAAGTCTCTTAAATACACTTGTTTGTGTTGCACACCCAAGCTTAATTTCCCTGTGAATCTCTCGTACTGGCTGGGAGAAAAATATGAGTAGCACTTCTAAATAACGCTGTAACTAGTTAAGGTTATTGCAGTCATAAAAAACAAAGTCCTTGCAGTACTGCAGTGGATTTTTTTTTTTTTAACCTACATAGTTTATGAGGTGTAGATAATTTCCGAGTTATTTTGCTGTAATTGGCTTGTTTGGTATTTCTGTCACAACTTGTTATATTACCCCTGTATTTCCTCTGATTGAAAGCAGTGCGTGTAAGGGTATGTTGTGTGGTATATTTCCTGCTGGCGTTCAGACAGCTTAGCTGGTGAATTAGTGCTACGTAAGTCGTGTGGTGGTCTGCTTATCAAGTTGATGGAAAAGGTGACAGGAAATCTGGACTAATCAAAGATTTATTTTACCACGCGGTATTACCTGGGACTGACTTTAGATGGGAGATGTGCAAATACCTTTTGCTGTGCTTTATTTCCTTAATGATGATGAGCAATGCTGATGTGTGGGGGTGTATAGACAGGAGGCAAGTGGTTTTCACACAGTGGGAATCTATCTTACCATTAAGCTGAAAAAAAAAAAAAGGAAAGAAAAGCAAGATTGCAGTTTTACTAGTTAAAATACTGTAACACCTGACATACTTCATGCCTGTCATTCAAATAATACACAGTTTTTGTCTTAAATGAATGATCCACTTCTCCCAAACGATCTGTCCCCTCTGTGATATGAAATCTTGTGAAGCAGGTGCTTGGTTTCATTCACCGCACTGTTTGCACGTGCCACGTGTGCTCACTGAACGCCAGGATCAACCCGCGTGGAAGTGTTTGGACCAAACACTGGGACCTGGGCTTCTGGTTTGCCCCCGAGCACCTGGAGGCTTCCTCGTGAGTACGTGTTGGCTCTTCCCCGCCCAGCAGGATGCCGATCCGCCTTATGGAGTTACGGGGCCGCAGCCAAACGTTGGCTTCGTGGCGATCGATAAAGCCTTCCCGTGACCTTTGCTTGAGCTTTGGTTGCACAAGGGGCGGGCTCACCTCTGTGTTATGCTGTCTCGGCGAGAGCAACGTGAGCACTTCTCCGTGTGCCAAATTTTCTCCTTTCACTGCTTGAGGGTTATTTTGTTGGTGTAAATAGGGTGCCACTAGCAAATATCTCCTACTGATGTCTTTGCTTGGGTTAAGTTAATTCCTTTACAATATGGGAAGTGCAGCTTTTTGTACTCCAGTGTTATGCGTACGTGCTTCTGTCGGTTGGGATCATTTAAAAGCTGTAGTGTCGAGCCAAATTTCTTGTAATGATTCAACAGAAGAGATCGTTTCTTCTGCAGCACAGTATTTACCTTTTTTGAACTTTTTTTTTTTCTATTACAAGTGTAACCACATCTTTGGAGCTGTCCTAGGCAATCAGATTTTTTTTTTTTCCAGTGTGCTGGAAACCTGTAAATGCTCTGTTCTCTGTGCACGGAGTACGGAAATAGATGAAACCGGTCAAACCTTTGAAGTTGTTCCCTTTACTAATAATTCCGTGTTT